GTGTCTGTCCGTGTGTGTCCGTCTGTCTCTCTGTATCTGTCCGTGTGTGACCCGCGGGATGCTCTGCCCAGCCAAGGGGGATTGGGGTCTCTCTCCCAGGGATGCTCCCAGCAGAGCTTAGCGCTGTCTCTTCCATCGCCCTCTCCGCGCTCAGCCCCTCGGGTTCGCTCCTCTCGAGCTGGTTTTGTTAGGAGCTGCAGCTTCTGCTGCTGCTGCTCTGACCGTGGCCATGCCCCGCGTGGCTTGCTGAGCTTCGCCGCACCCGTGGGTTGCTTGTGGGTTGCCACTGCAACGAAAGGTTGTGGGTTTTTTTTAATTTAGGTGCGATATATAAACGTTTCCACTGGAAAATCCCTCATCCCTGCTATGTTTCAAGTTCGATTACGATTGTTCTGGGAAGCATTTTAATCGCCTTTTCAGCTTTTAATCGCATGACATCCATCTCGGGGATCCCCCCGAGGTCACGGTGTGTGTCTGCGCGGGGTGAAGCCCTTCATTTATCCTGCCCCTCTCCTCCTCGGGGCAGCGAAAGGCAGCGCGGGGATGACTCTGCAGGCTGTGCGGGAAGTCATTCCCGTCAGCTGACCACGGCAGGAAACACATCAGTGCTGTTCCCTTCCCGGGCACAGCCGCGCGGTGAGCCGCCCGCCGAGCCGGCCCGGGGTCACGGACTGCAGGGTCGGGATGCACCTTAGCGATGGTTTAGCCCCAGCCCCTGCCCTGGGAGAGGACACCTTAGCCCAGGTTTTGAGGCTCGTTCAGCCGGCCCTTGACCGCGGCCGGGGAGGGGGCAGCCACAGCTTCTCTGGGCAACCTGTTCCAGGCACTCAGAGTGCTGCCGCCTCCTCTTTCACCCTCTAGGAGCACAAATTCGGTGTCTTTCTGCAGCAGTTTGTAGATTTACTTGTAAATCAGAGGAAAGCAACCAGAAATTTTACTGTGCTCTTCCTAGAATAGTTTCTTTGGAAGGACACAAACTTTTGAATTTCTGTGCCATCATATTAGGTCAGTATATTAGGTCAGTACCTGCCCCCATGGGTGATATCCCGTGGCAATTCCTATTTAATTAATCCAAGGGAACCCTTACCATTTTCATCCTTCAAAGAAATAAAAAATTACCGACTCTTCTGTGGGTCAACATGAGGTTTATAGGTTTGATATGTATTACCAGTGTTACCATTAGGTGTCACATGAGCCTTGCTAATGTCATGTCAGCTGTTTGACTTTTATCGACTGTCTGTCCAAAAAAAGGAGAGCGAGGAGGTAAATTTCCAAGGCCGGAAAAGTCCTCTGAGACCCATTGAGTCCAACCATTCCCCCAGCTCTGCCAAGGGCACCACTAACTGTGTCCCAAGTGCCACATCTTTTAAGTCCCTCCAGGGATGGTGACTCCACCACTGCCCTGGGCAGCCTATGCCAGGGCTGGACAACTCCTAATATCCAACCTAAACTTACTCTGTCTTGAGGCAGTTTCCATCTGTTCCATGGAAGAACTTAAGTTTACAACAAGACAGAATTATTCACGGAAGTGATAGAGACCAAAGTCCATATTGCTAATCTATTAAGAAATAGTCACCTTTGCCAGAGGATGAGCAGCCACTTTCAGAATCATAGAATTTTAGGGGTTGGAATGGGCCTTAGAGATCATCTAGTCCCAACCACCAGTGCCATGGGCAAGGACACCTCCCACCACACCAGGTTGCTCAAGGTTTCATCCAACCTGGCTTTGAACACTGCCAGGGTTGGGGCAGCCACCACTTCCCCAGGCACCCTGTTCCAGTGTCTCACCACCCTCACAGTAAAAATTTGTTTTCTAATATCGAACCTAAGCTTCCCCTCCTTCAACTTCAACCCATTACCCCTTGTCCTTTCACTGCATTTCCTAATTAAGAGTCCCTCTCCGGCTCCCTTGTAGGCCCCTTCAGATATTGAAAAGTTGCTGTGAGGTCTCCATGCAGGTGTCTCTTCTCAAATTGTGTTTGACCAGAACTGAAGTAATTTAAACTTTGAGTATTTTATGAGCATCTTGTATCATCCATAAAACACACTGTAATTGGGTAACTTCTGTTACTTCAGCCAGCAGTGTCGGTGGGAAATGTTGGCCAACTGGCAATGGATCTAGTGATTTCCACACTCAACATGACTAAAGTTGGTTACTTCTACACGGACTGCCTGGTGCCAATGGTTGGAAGTAATCCATATGCCACAGCAGAGCAAAACTCAATGGAGCTGAGTACCAATGCTGAAGGTGTGTATTGAATGCCAAAGGTGTTTGCAAGCTGCGTAAGGTGCAACAACAGCACTTTTACAGGTTTTTGTTGTATTTTGCTTACATGCTTAAACTAAGACCAGAAATAACAACTGCAGTAACTTACAGAGGAGAACATATTTATGTTTCACAGAGGAAACTGTTCCTGTTGTTATTTTGGATAACCAATTTGACATATGGAACCAGTAAGAAATGCCGAATTTCAGTCATGTTACAGTGCAGCCAAAACTCTGTGGTTTTAATTCAAAGTAACACAATGTGTGCACATATTTACAGTAACCTGCTGGAAAGCAAGGTCAGTTTCTGGTGCAGAAGGGTATTTATCCAGTCTTCTTCCTTCCTACCTATGTTTGCCTTTTTCCTTATGTAATGTTTCTCCCTCTGTCCCCTTCAAATCCTTAGGATTTTTTCCCTTTTATTGATCAGTGCATTTAATTTTATTTTGCCCTCTTAAATGACAGAAATCTCAGAATAATCTGTCAGTCTTTGCAAAGCTGCATAGATTATCTGAACCATTACAGGAGGGAGATCTCATATTTTTGTTCATTCAGTCCTTTGAACTTAATACAAGTGAAATGAAGTCCAGTGAAGACAATGCACAGAAATACATATTTTTAACACGGTGGATATTGTCAGGCTTTCCCATTTGAATTGATAGCTGAAAGGTTTACTATCCTGAGGTTTGTAAATTGGATAATTCTTGATATTTCTAAACCCAGATCTCCTTCTTGCTTTCTTCTTAACAAGACTTAATGATTTCTTCTTGTAGTGTATTCCTCACCCTCAAAGAAACTTGTGGTTCTGCAGATCAGATCACCTTTTATAAAGGTATGTATGTTCATCATTTGCTCTTACTTCGCTATTCAGTTTGAATATTTCTGCTGGCAAATAGCTAAAGTGGCCTAGCAAAATTATTTTTCCCCTTCATGCTATAACAGCTTCTGCAGTTGATACAGTTTTACTGATCTCTGCATTCCTCGAGGGTTAAGGTTTAGTTTTGTTTTTCCAAGCCCCACAGCAGTTGCTATGTTGGTAGATTTCAGTGTAAACATCTCCTTAGTTATTAACAGTCTTGAAAACACAAAATGGTCTGGGGGTTATCCATTTCTTTTTAAATTATTTTTTTTTGCTTTACATCTATTGCTTTTGTGTGTTCTTTGTAATAGCTGCTATGTTTTTTTGTGTCATGCCGATTTAATTATTTCATAGTGTTCTGTATTCATTTAATCTGTATTCATCATGTAAAAAAGTGAACAATTTAGAATGAATTACTTATTAACTGGACAGTGGCTGTAATTTAAAATAAGCAGAATACCATGCCAGAAAGAAAATGTTTTGGTGCAGTTTGTTTAGCAGTTCAAACTGTGGAGAAATACTCTGTGATCTTGCCATCCCATCTTACTCTAAAGCTCTTTCCATTGGTATTAATGGCACAAAAAATAGGTGGTGCTGCTGTTGTTAACGTGCTCATAGTGATAATTTTGTCATTTCACATGCAGTTTTGATTCACTAAACAACCAGGGCAGTTTTCTGCTTCTTACAAATACATCTGAAGATGACAAGTAAATGGATATGAAGAAAGTTTTGCATCGCTGCTAAACGTTGTATGTAACACCTAGTATTGTTAAGGATATACTTTTTACTTTTGTTCTGTGTCTTTGCATGAAGAACAAGTACAGGCCATTCTGTCAAGCCCTGCTCTCTTGGGTGCAAAGCAGCAAATGTGCCAGGGTTGTGCTCCTGTCTAGCAGCCACGCGTACCAGCGCGACGATGAGCAGCTTCTCGGGTATGTTTGTGTCACATCCACCTAGTGGATGTTTCTGTTCTTTTTGACTGACATATTTCCCTCTGCTGAGTACTTCTGGCAGGGTGCTTTTGCTTGGCTGCGTGCACAGGTCATAAAATACTTGGTATACTGTTAAAACATGGTGTTATACAGGATTAGTATCTGAATTATGTTAGTTACTACGTGCAAAAGTACTGGTCAAATAACAAGCTGTAAGCAAATCACACTTGGCCTGCACTGTCTGGTGACAGAGCCTCACTTTTAACAACTTCTGGCTGCAAGCAGTGTCAGGGATTAGCTGCTGACATACAGGCCACAGGTTAGATTTTTAGCAGTTTATTATAATATTGGTTAGTTTCTTACCTCTGCATCATCATTCTGCATTTGGAAGTTTTTCTTTGATATAATAAGTTTGGGTCTTTTTAATAGGAAGTAATCATTATTTGTTAGGAGGCAACTGCAAGGTTCAGACTAAATGTCCTTTTATTAGATACTACCCATTTAAAAAACAAAGCATTTCTTGCTGATTGAGGACATCATAATTGGTGATTTAACCAAAACGAAATGAAGTCAGTATTTTTGCAGAAGGCCAATTAACATCCTCAGGCTGTACCAACGTGTGGGGCCTTAAAAGGAGGTTTAGGTCCATGCACATCCCAGATACAGTGGTATATAGTTGCAGGATGGCCAGCTAACATGGAATGAAATGAGAGAGACTGATGGTTATGTGAGGATGTCTGAGTCATAAATTGTGATGATTTAACCCCCCCTACCTCCCTCAGCACCACAGAATAACTCCCTTACAAGTGAGAGTAGTGCATTCAGAAAATACTTAAACTTGCCTAAGTCTGCATATGTTTGTAGTGTGAGCTTATTAAAAATACTCTGCTGTGGTGAAGTCCAAGTTTCTCCTAACAGACTTTAGTCACCTCCTCTCTGAAGGAAGAAAAAGCATATTTTATTTGTAAATACTTTTAACAACCACAATCTGTTCTCCTATCCATGTGCTTATGTATCTGGTACTTGCCAGTTATGTGAGCCCCTAAGAAGCAGGTGCCTTAGTTCCATTTGTGGCAGAAAGTTGAGTAGTTTGTACTGTTTTGAGGCCACAGACTTACTTTCTAACTTTGATTTGAGGAGGGAGGGAATGTCGGAGCAATTTGTCACTCCAGGTGTGAGGTCCTCAATGCTTGCAGCTTCTGTCTGTCACAAGTAATGACATTGGTAGTGTTTTTCCCTGTCAGACTCGATGTGTTCTTGATGTGTTTCTAGCACACCACTGCGCTACCTACTTACACCTGACCTTGAGAAAGCAGTAGGAGGCCTCATGCAGGAGCTAAAGTGGAAAGAAATGGAAAAAGTAGCAGCTTACCCTGGAATAAATGATGCAGAAAAAGTTCTGCATGTTCCTGGAGGTGGCATCACAAAACTGTTGTTTACTGAGAGGTGAGTTGCCTAAAGATAAGCACAGAATGATATCAGAAGTCTTTTAAACCACTGTGTTAGAGGAAAAGAAAAATCCCTATTTTCATAGGAAAGGGTTTTACAGGAATAGAACTTCTTCCAGGTCAAGCCCATAATTAAGAGGAAAAACAATAGGGAATTCTGCATCATTAAGTCAGAATATGACAGAAATATAAGGGAATGGGCTTTACAATTAAGATCACAATTAATCTGAGATCTGATTTTATGCAAACCACAATTTGTAAACAGTAGAAGTCCTGTACCTGTGATACCTTAACTAAAACTGTTTCCTGTGACAAATGGTTCCATCACTAGTTGCTAAAAAAAACCAAACCCCAAGTAATTCTGAGCACCAAGAATGAGTTGAGATTTCAGGGCCAGCAAACAATTAGATGTAGGTTTTCGGTTACAAGGTGTGTACATCAGAAGTCGTGCTCGAAGCATGTCTGAGGTTTTAAATTCTGGATACTGATACTCACTATGGCACAACTGTGTAGTTCTGCAAAAGATGTTTGTGTCAGGTGGAAAATTTATTTTTTCACTATTATTTTTACATTACACCAGTTCAAACTGTTGCATCCAACAGCAGGAGAGTTACTGATACCATGCTTACCTGACCTCAGTCTGGAAACAATATACAAGTGCAAAAGAAAAAAGCTGCCAGGATCTGAGGAAAAAATTATTTAAAAACCAGTCTTAGTATCTCAATGAAAAATATGAGAATATTGTTAGGAAAGTAGTGATATGCAGCCTGCAAAAGTGCTGGTTTAAAATACACAGAAAGATAGGGAGTGATTGTATCAAAGGATCTGTATAAATGCCTCACCAGCACAAAAATGCAAAGTAAGTTTGTAAAAGAGGCTCTAAGTACTCTTGGCAAGACGTAGGATTCCTGCCTTGCAAGGTAAAGAAGAAATTCAAGACTTAGAAAAAGAACATGAAGTGCAAAAATGCCATCAAGGGAGTCTGGAGGGGGGAAAAAAATCTATCTATATATGCATACAACTTTACTTCTTGGTTTTGGTTTTTAACAAGCCAGATCTCAAATAGATATATAACTGCCTGCTCTCTTTTGTTGCAGCTGTTCAAAGGGAATCCAAATGGCAGTTCTGCTGAAATTTTGCTCAGAAGGAGACAACATCCCTGATGCATTTGCTCTTGTTAACTATCTTAATGAATGGCTCCAGCTAATTAAAAGTGAAGTAAGTGCTGTTTGATCAGACATTCTTGCTTTGAAGTTGGGGCTGTTCAGGCTGGAGAGGAGAAGGTTACGTGGAGACCTTGTAGTAGCCCTTCAGTATCTGAAGGGGCTACAGGGGAGCCAGAGAGGGACTATACTAGGAGGTGTAGTGACAGGACAAGGGGTCACAGGTTCAAACTGAAGGAGGGAAAATTTAGGTTAGATATTAGGAAAAAGCTTTTTACTGTGGGGGTGGTGAGACACTGGCATAGGTTGCCCAGGGAGGCTGTGGCTGCCCCAACCCTGGCAGTGTTCAAAGCCAGGTTGGATGAAGCCTTTAGCAACCTGTCTGGTGGGAGGTGTCCCTGCCCATGGCAGGGGGTTGGGACTAGATGATCCTTAAGGTCCATTCCAGCCCCTAAATTTCTATGATTCTATGAATTTCATTTTTATTCAGAACATTAAGACTGTTACTCAAATGAATGTTAGAGAAGTTAAGTATGTTTGTATTGGGTTCATTTTGGGTCTTGGTCATCGAAAGTACGCCAAATTAAATACATACTTTGATTAAAATCTCACTGGTAATTTCCCCACCTGAAAAACTGTGGGGAAAATTGTGTAAGGGTTTGGTAAGTTCCACCTCTCCCTTCTCTAAAGCAACCCACCATGACACTGACACTTGTGCTACTGCCCATTATTTTAATACCTGTGCCAGAGAGAGAATGGCATCGTGACTCCTTAAAGCTTAATGAATTATTCTGGCTTTGTTGCAGAGCAACAATTCCACAGATGCTCCTTCACAATGGAAAATACCAAGTTCTTGGCGCTTGCTTTTTGGCAATGGCCTTCCACCTGCACTCTTCTGATCACCTCTCAACTCTTCTGTGAGTCACCTGTGTGGGCTCAGACATCCCTTGAGAAGGTGATTACATGGTAATGGCCAAGCAACAGCTTTGTTGTCTGCATAAATTCTTTATTTAAGAAAAAAAATCCTTTCATGTATGGGGGTAGCTATAGGAATTGAGGTAACTTTCACAAATTGACCAAAGAAGTATGTTTTGTACAGTTGTTTATTGAATAACTTCAGTTGAAAGTTTTTCTAATAAAATATTTTATAAGAAACCTTTTTCTTTGGTTATGTCTTATTGCCATGGACAAGTTCGTGGTGCACCTTCTAATGCAGCTGAGAACCTGAGAGCGATGTCTTGGCATGGATCTTCTTTCAAAGACAAAACCCTCCTCTTCCATGTCAGCTGTGGATCTTAACTTTTTTTCCAGAACTTCCTGGCGATGTAAGTGAAGCTCAAAATTATCTGGTTATGCCTTCTTTTCCCAGTTCTGTTGTGGTAGCTTGAACAGGGGAGACTGCAAGTGATAAAGCAGCCTGTTCTGTCTTTTCTGGTCTACTTAGAATCATAGGATGGTTTGGGTTGGAAGGGACCTTAAAGATGAGCTAGTTCCAACCCCCTAAAAAGGCTGGGCTGAGTGTTGTTAAGTGTTAAAGGATTCCTCGTGGTCTTTAAAAAGTGACTACAAGGTGTGTATGGAGCACGAGGACAGATTAAGTATTGAGGGACTGGAGGACCAGACGAAAGCGATGGAGGTGGTGTCATTTGCTTCACAGTCTGTTTCTTTGGTGAGCCATATGAGGAATGGCTGGAGTCACTTGGTCTGTTCAGCCTGGAGAAGAGGAGACTTAGGGGAGACCACATTGCTGTATACAACTTCCTCGCGAGGGGAAGCAGAGGGACAGGCGCTTAGCTCTTGTCTGTGGCAACCAGAGAGGACCTGAGGGAGTGACCTGGAGCTGTGTCAGGGGAGGTTTAGGTTGGGTATTAGAAAAAGATTCTTCACCCAGAGGGTGGTCAGGCACTGGAACAGCTCCCCAGGTAAGTGGTCATGGCACAAAGCCTGACGGAGTTCAAGAAGCATTTGGACAATGCTCTCAGGCATATGGTGTGATTATTGGCACCATCCTGTGCAGGGCCAAGACTTGGACTTGATGATCCTTGTGGGTCCCTTCCAATTCAGAATATTCTGTGATAGTGTTTAGCACCTCCTCAAGAGACACAGCTGAGTGAAACCTCAAGAAGGCACTAGTTTACTTGACACTAGGAGCACTTTCTGAAAGAGGAAAATCCTCAAGGCTTTCCTGTTCCCTCTGGTGTTGGCTCATGCAGACAGAGGGCCAAGGGCCGGCAGTCCCACGGGTGACCCTGCAGGCTGCTGCTCCACCCACGGTGCTCCTGGCTGCGCTGCCTGGGACAGGTGATCCTGCCCCTGCAGGGCCTTCCTGCAGCACTAGGCAGTGCTTTCGGCCTGCTGGTTTTGCCTGATGTCTGGCAAAAATAAAGACAAGTAACCTCTGCAACATTGCTCTTGAACATAAAATGACAGCCAGTAAATCACCATCCCTGGAGGTGTTTAGGTGTCTGGTGCTGGGTGAGATGGTTTAGGGGTTGTAATGATAGTGCTAGGTGGACAGCAGGACTTGGTGATCTTAAAGGTCTCTTCCAACTTTGATGATTCTATGATTCTAAATCACAGCTTTTTCATGTGAAGAAAAAAATTGCCATCTGCAAATCTGATCATTCTTCAAACCCCGTTTCTTTTAAGGCTGCAACTAGACACTCACTTGTCCTTGCTCTCAGAAGGCAACTTCTCCCCTCCTTCACCTTCTTAAATACATTTTCCCAGGAGCAGTTAAGACTTGAGCCATGTGTAGAAATAACTAAACAAGTGCACGTGTCAGAAGCTGCTGGGCCAGTAAGTCAAGACTTCTGCTGGCACAAGGCAGTCAAGGCCCTGGTCTTGGAACTGATGTATCTTGATCTTTGCCTATTCATCAAATTGGCCTGACATGAAATATAGTCCAGCAGCTCAGTGGCAGAAAACCATTTAGAACCTAAGAACAATCAGCATTTTGATTAGCATATTCAGCCCGCTATGCCCCACAAGATAAAACAAACTAGTTGCAGAGGTGATACTGTCTGTGAGAGCAGCAGGTAATGTAACAAAACACATGCATCTTTCCAGCAGTGAACACACCTCAACTCCAAGAGGGGTAAAACAATGAAAACCTAAATGGGAGCCAAAGGCACAAGGCATGAACAGCTGAAAGCCTTAGCCAAAGACTTTCCAAGGGGTTCAAACAGGCTCTGTTCCTGTATGCAACACCAACAGGGTTTATTGCAGTGGTCTTGGCAGAGCGTCGCCCCTCGCTATAAGCACTCCTGGTCTCATGGCTGCACCAGCTTGAAAATGAAAACTGAATTGAGTTGCAAGGTTGTTTTCTCCTCCAGCAGAGGCTGAGGACAGTGTTGATCATCTAAAGAAACAGAACTACCGGGACAAGCCAGACTCTGGCAATTTGGACTATTTCAGGATGGCGTCAAGTCTATCTTTAGCACAAGTAATAGCACCAAGTATTCCCCTGATTCAGCTTCCCCTACAAGTTAAACACAACTCTAGACATAACTGCTTTCTTGAATGAACCTTGAAACCAAGGTATGCTAAGATTTCAGGCTGCTGCTTATTTTAGCAGAAATAGCCCTAGTTGTCCTGGATTTCCCCCCTCTTCCACACTCTACCCTCAGTAAGGTACGTACGATTTGTAGTGCAATTTATGCAATGTATGATTTGTACAAAATCCTGTTACAAAAATATGCCCAGTACAAATTACATATAAAACCCCACCACATGCCAGTTTAGACAGCCACATTAAAGATAGAGGTTTTTGCGAATTAACATTTATCTAGAACTGTCAGAGAACATCAACAAGTGCAGAATTGCGATCAGCACTGTCACAGAAGGCCCAGGGCTGGAAACCCTGCTGACCCTCCAAGCAGCACTTTGGTTTACCCCTTTCCAATCCACCCTGACTGTGTCAGGGAGAATGCTGACAGGAGGTGGGAGAGGTGAAGGAAAACACCTTACATAGAACACATGGTGATGGCACAATCCAAAACCCGTTTAATTGCAGACACCATTGACTCTGTGCCCGTTGCACCTTGCCCTCAGCTTCTGTTACTTACACAGGACCATGGGTTGCCACATGTCAGATTTCCCATCTTTCTTCCCTTTGGAGCATCACCAACAAAGCACTTGTCCTCCACAAAGTTAACTCTGAACATTTTGTGCATATTTTATAGCAAACATAAGAAGGATAACCAGACCAACTGGTCAGATTAATAAAATAATATTCTCAGTGGTGTATTACAAAAGAAATGTGCAAGAGTTCCTCCTAGCTCAAACTACAATACTCAGCATTAATGAAAACATTTGCATAAAGCACATTCTAATAATTTTGCCATTTTCCAGTTAAGACAGGTGTCAGGAAATCTTAAGGCAAAACTCTTCTTTTTCCGCAAAACTAACAGTTTCTCCCTAATATAACTCGCACACAACAGCATATTGTCCAGTTAAAAAAATATTTAATGCTGCCAAAAAAGTATAAAAATACAATAAGAATGGCAGTATAAAACAAAATATTTCCTAATTTATTTCTTTTACATCTTTCTACATTAATACAGGCATTATAAAAAGAACACAAGATGGCAAATTATTCTGTTTCGCAAAGTAGCACACGCTGCTGGTGGTCTTCGTCCCCTCGGTGCAGTTTACGCTGTAAACACATAACTGAGGTCCTCTTGGTACTTAACAGACCTCATTTTTTGTTCCCGAAGAGGGGGGTCATGTCTCGCTTTGCATGTCAATAATTTGCAGTTTATAGCTGCAGAATATTCACAAGTCTTGAAGGCTTAGGTGTCAGTCAGTCTCGGCCTGCGACATACAACCAAAAGAAAGTCACCGATTCAGTACACAGTACGGGGGAAAAGAAAACAAACCAAAAGCCAAAAAACTGACAACCAACAGCGGAATTGCAGCTCACTGTCAACACCAAACAGCTTCTCATGCGTTCCCTGGAGCAACTACTGCCTCAGAAAGACACTGCTTTTCCAGAAGGTATTTCTGTATTACAATATAGGCACACTCTTGCTGGAGAGCTCCGGGTACAGGTCTCACTCCAGCGAACAACTTCCTCACACATTTAACCACAAGCACTGCAGAAGTCTCCTTGGGCCTCAGTGGGACTACAGCAGGCTGCATCTCCAAACACTCACACCACCTCTCGGGGCTCAGTAGGCCAATCCTGGCACAGAAATAACTGTTTCTAGGCAAAGGTTTCCTGTAGTGAGGAAGACATCCCAGCACCAGATATTTTGACCTTAGGCAAGGTAAGGCTCTACTCCAAGGAACACAGAAAAAGACCGTGGTGTTCACAGCACCACACCCACAGGCTACTACGAGTAAAACACATCTAAGTTCTGTGAGCACTACACCGATTCACAAAGCAGCTTTCCTCCATCAGTTGTGACACACTGGAAAAGGGCTTCCAAGTATTTAGCCTTCCAATTTAAATAAAGACTCAGACAGGGATGCAATTTTGAACACATTTATTTTTCGTACATAAAAGTGAAAGACTGACCTAAAACTCTGGGGGCAAACAAAAAGGCCCAGGAAGACTACTGTGTGTTACGTCAGCTTCGCAAGTACCATCCTCTGACTCGAGCCACTCGGCCGTGCAGAAGACTTCCTCTTTTGTGATCCTTAATTTAGTTTCTTGTACAGTCCTCAAGTGTCTCAGGTCTTGCTATAATGCCAAACAGCAAACTACAAGATTTGGTTTACATTCATTGAGCACAAAGCCTAGCCAGGCTTTCTCTTGCCTGCGCGACCCAATCACACATACATGCACACACATTTACGCCTCTTCCTTTCTCAGGGGGTATCAACTCATGTCAGTAAACCATTTTACTCGAGGTTTAACAGAATAAGCTAAGTTCCACTTGCAACATCTCACTTCCACAAAATAAATCCGTATTTTTTTTTCAAATTGCTATTTCACACTGAATTAAATTATTTTACTTAATACATGTCAAGGAAAATACAGCTGTACCGTCACTCTAAGTGAGCTGTCCCTGCACCAAGTACATAAACAGGAACCCTAAGGGGCTAATTCCAACTTGGCCAAACCCCTAGCAATGGAGGTTCAAATGTTTGCTAGGAATTTTGGGTTTTAAATGTACACAAGTGTCATCTGAGAGTCAAACATGATTTAATCAGAGATGCCCACTACACAAATACTTCGACTGATGTATTTCCAGAAGAGGGGAAAACCCAACAGAGTAACACTGAATTGATCCCAACAGCAGTTTTAGCAGTAGCACAGGACTAGCCAGCAGCTTGCCAGAAATCAGGGTAGGGGGGAAGGCAGGAGAGGAGTCAGAAGGCACATCCTCCAATTTCACCCTTGAAGCACTTCCTGTGATAGAGGTGACTGGGATGGGGAGTTCTTCATTTTGGCCCATATTTGTTCCCATTTAACATCCAAGTTGTGCAAAACTGCTGCAAATTTAAATCTTGCAGAGTAACAAAGTGTCACAAGGGCTAAGTGTGCAGCAAGGAGAACAAGCCTCCCCTAGGTTTTGTGTTTTTAAGGATTAGCAATGGACCAGAAAGAAAACTTTTACCCAAATTATTGTCTGAAATGTACTAAGAGATCTATTGTTTGATTTCCCTTCCTATTCTCATACCGTCATGAACTGTTCAAAATAGTTTTGTCCAAGACTTGTATTGGTTCATCCTCCTTAAATTATTAACAGTTTAAGACTCTCAAGGTCCTTGCAACCATGGACCCAAACCAAACGTCTACAGAACAGCTGCTGAATGTGCAAGTTCTGCTTTATTGCATCGAGAAGGTAATGGAGTGTGAGGTGATGCACAATGGCTCCCTCCTGCCCCACCCTGAACTGAGGAATCCTTGCTCAGGATCAAGAAAACAGATAAGCCAGAGAGTACTTAAATTTACAAGACAGAATCAGGAAAAAACTGAAGCCACAATGTGACAAGCTGCAGTTAGAGCTCAGTGCCTGTAGGATACTGGTGACCCAGGAAATCCTTCTCCTGCCAAGAGAAGGGCAATAAATGACAGTGTGATTTCAGTCAAGGTTTCGCCTGCACCTTTTCCTTAGCTGCTCTTAAGTATTTAGAATAAAATCTGGAATATTTCTGTTACAAAAGCATTTAACTACATTCCACATATTTTTCCATAACCAAAATATCTTTATAAGGCACATACATTTACACCTACTCTCAGTTGTAGCTGATACTGAGAAACCTGCCTTCCCAATTTAAAGGGGAAAAAAAAAAAAGATACCTTTAGCCAATCCTCTTGTTGGCTAGAAGTTACCGTGGTTGTAAAAATGGTGAAGTGTCTTAAAATATGTGAGCTGCCTCCAGCCTATACTGTGCCACAGCAGTCAGCAAATCACTGTGCTGCTAGAGCTGCACAGTTGGTCAGCAGTGCCATGGGACAAAGTGTCTTGTCCTACTGACGCACGATTTCCCGAACTCAGAACTGTATGAAACAACACTTGTTTTCCTCATCTGGACCCTTAAGCATTTGTTTACTATATAAACAGTGTGGTCCAAAATAGTATTAGCTATTGCAAAATGAGAATTTCAAAGAGTAAACTGTACTTAGCTTTGTGTAGTAAATGTCAGAGTAATTGGGCCCCGTGCCTGGTATGTTACTACCAAGCTTGGATGTACTGGAAACCTTTCAAGTCAATTCCCTTAAAAAGAAGCAAAGTAATCATCCAGCTCTTTTAGTATTTTTCACCAGGAAATCCAAGAAGTGCTTTACGAGGGGGAAGAGAAGGGTGGAAAGCAAAAAGAAACCCCCTCGAACCTCCACACCTGACAGAAAACAACCAAGCTTAGAAAACGGAAGGAGAACATGTGACTTCTCTGAAGTTGCCTGACAAGGCAATGCTTGAATAAATAAAACCCACATTACAAAGTACAATCCAATCCTACAAATTATTAGATCTCAACTCGAATGACAGCAAGCTACAAACAGCCATATACCATCTCTGTATTCAAAGAGGATTCAAAGGGCAGAAAAAGATTTGTGATGAATGACTATTGAGAAAGTGTCATCACCCAAGTAATGGAAAGGGAGTGCTCAATAATTTCACAGGGGCTGTAGCACAGGTACTCCCAAAAGCTTAGTCATCACGTGTTTTACCAACGTGTCTCTAATGCAGTGCTGGGGAACCCAAAAAGCAGATCTAGGCCTTGTGAAGCTACAGAAGTGGCTCATACAGCCGAACACAGGATACGGCAGAGAACTACCAACACTGCTTCTCTATTAAAACTGCCCTTGGAAGTCCAACTGTAATTTCCTTTGATGTGCCTTCTATGCCTATTACTGATGAATTTTCTTCTTTCTAGCAACTAAAATCTATAGACACACAAAACATCATGTTTCACATTTAATGGAATGTCAGAATTTGAACAATGTTGGCCTTCAAACAATAGCTGAAGTCTGAATACATTAATCGACAGCATTGATTTTCAGTGGGGGCTAAGTTCTCAAAAGCCTTTTTTTTTAAAAAAAAATCAAATTTCTAATCCTTACTTAAATAATGAAAACTACAAAAAATAAATAAGGAATGCAAATTAACAGAGTAGAAATTGGCAAGTGCTTCATCAGACCCCTAGCTGCTTGTTTCAAACTGGAGACTGAAAATATGGGGAATGGTTGCACTATTCTTTTCATGCACAAATTATAATTACATTTAATTTCAAAATTAAATTCTTTTGGTCAGAAATTTGTACAAACTGAGCTTTTAAAAGTACAGTGAACTACAAAAAGATTAAATATGCAATTATAAAATATATTTATCCTAGGTCGTAAGAATATAAAATGTTTATGTTCATGTCACTAGTACATTACACATTACACACATTTAAGGATAACTTCTTTGCATTAATAATGTCAATGATACAACACTGTTTATTGCTTGTGTCAGGCATGTAAATTTAAATCCAGACAGCCTTCAGGAGCTAAACCTCCGTGGTTCAGCCTTTGCTTAAAATCTGGTAAAAAGTATAAACAGTTGCAGCAAGTTGGTACCTGCTCATATAAACGAAACCCATCGGCTCTGTTGGGGGCAGCGGGTCAGTTTTCTAAGTACCTGCAGTGGAAGGTCCTGAGATGTCGACATGGGATCAAGTTTGCATCACTTCTCTATTGTATGTAACGGTCTGTACCCATTCCAGGAGTAAGGAGTTTACTGCTTAAAGTCACACCCCTAGTCATTAACTTGCAGCAAAATTAGCTGTTGGAGCAAACAGGCTTACTGCTTACTTACAAGGAATGTTCTTGAAAATACATTTTCCAGCAAGAATAAGCACCAACTAAAATCAGTGTACCAAACCCAATCTTAGTGAGAATAGGTTTCCAATATAACCACCTTTTTCTTTTTCTTTCAGTCTCATTTAGCTTCTGCTTCATCTGCTGCAGCTTCTGTGCTGTGTTTGCTTTCCTGTCCTCCCGCAGTCGTTTTCGGACAGTACTTAAAGAAAGAAAGAAAAAAAATGGTAAATCTTACACTGTAGAACAGGAAAAAAAGCTATTACAATATTAGAACAAACCTCTTTCCAACACACTCCCAACAGTCAACCCATCAGTAGCATATGGCAGCAGTATATACAATCTAAACCAAGTAACCTTTTAAACCAAGGTTTTAACCACCTCGATGTGGAGAGTTTCAGACCAGTGAAACCCCATGAAGTAAGTAAATGCAGGTTTAGCAGTACTCAGTTCAGGCTGTAAACCAGATCTTGGTAAAGGGCAGAGGTTAAAACCCAGTTCTGTGTGTTGTTACACTATTAGGGCCACCTTGAAATTCTTGTCTCCAAAAGTACCCTCACAATCTCCAAGAAAACATGACTGATAAAAGTAAGTGCTTTGGTTGTCCAAGTCCTAGCACACAACCAGCACACCCACAGCCTCCATCCACTTGAGAGGGGCTCCTCAAACATCTACAGGATTACTGTCATTCTCTCAAAACATCATGGAGACATGGAAAGACAAAGCCATGAGGGCATTCAGTGACCCAGCTGTTACTTCAGAATTGCAGCCAATCTACACTGAATTGCTGTATCCCATCTTGGGCTGCAGCCCTCTGGGACAGACACTGCTTCCTCCCACACACCACATGGCTCAGCTCAGCACATCCCTGCCCAGGTTCTGGATCTCTGGCTATGGATCAGCATTTGGTGACCCTCACGTGGGCAGGCCCAGGTGACACAGCACCTCGATGCATAGCAATTCAAATGGCAATTCCAACCACAGCAGCTCACAGATGAGGCTTTAGTACTCATGAGACACTTGACAGAGAAAGACAAGTTCACATGACACAGCTAAACCACAGCCCTCTACTCACAGTGGTAGATTTAACATGAAGGGAGGGTAACACATGGCCTCAAGGATACAATTTCAACCACTCTACAGAAAGTGGCAGGCGATAAAACCTTTGTGTTTCTGAGGTATTGTGGATTTTTTGAAACAGAAGTTAGCAGTGTATTTAAAAATCAGTATTGGAATTATGTTGGGCACTTCTTGACCTAATTCACACTGCACAGAATTCTCTGAGTTCAGAGACAAGTCTGTACAAAAATGATTTCAAGCATGAGGTGTAGCTGCTTCAGATAGAGACATTTGCTTTTCTGCTCTTGACCTTTGATGAATAAAATCTTATCTCAAGGAACAGCTGAGCTTGTCTTTTTAAAATAATTATAGATGACAGTCAAATCCCACCTGTCCTTCCTCTCTACTGAAGAAACATGTTGAAGTTTTACAATAACAAAAGCAGACAATAATTCAGCCTTTTAAGAGAGCATATTTGCTTTCTAAACAATTTCTTCATCTTGCCTACCTTTCAATGTTCCCATCTGTGATGTCTTGAACTTTAGTGGAGAGGTCAGTGTTTACTTTCTCCATTTGATCTTTGTTTTCCAGGCCTATGCTGTTCCCATTGTACTTTTCTGTGGTTATTTTGGTTGGGTGTGGAGGAGACTGCTCAGAACTTGGCGCTTGGTCCTCCTTAGAGAGCTCCTTCCACCGTTTCTGCAAACAAGGAGAACATATTTCAAGTACTCCCCTAACACTGAAGATCCTCTTTGCCCAAGGTGTCTTCCCAAATGACAGCCATAGGAGGAGATTAAAGGAACTATCAGATCAAGAAACAAAAAACTGCTAGATGAAAAAATAAGGTTAGGTGAAGATGCACCTTCTCCAATAATTATCATCCTTTTTTCCATTTCTCAGTGGGATCAGAAAGGCATGATCCCACTAACTTCAGGATTTGTACTGTCCACAGTAGCTCCACCATTAGGAAGCAACCTGTCTCGTGTCATCCTGCACTGTCCAGCACTTTCCATCTCCCTCTACTCACTACAGGCCTATGCTGTGCTGTTACCTTTCATGGCTTCAAAATACAATAGGACTTTGTGTGCAAGAACTGCCTAAAAAGAGAGAAAAGGAAATATTTAACTAGGGTTATTTACACCAGGGTCATGGCATACTGTTTCACTTAGTGGCCCATTAGCCTTGAGATCTACTGCATCATGGAAGTTATTTGCATTGTTTGTAATCTGAAATGAGATGGAAGAAAAAAAAGAAAAACACTGGAAGTAAGTTTGCCAGATCCCTATCCAAATGGGTAACTGTCCTAATGATGAATACTCTGAAGGACTTTATCTGCAACAAAACTTAATGCAGAAAAAAACCCTAGAAAGCTCACAGGAAGGAACAGAATCAGCCCTAAAACCCAATCATTTCTTTTCTCACACCAACAGTCAATGCCTACAGAGACACAGAATACCTTGCAGGAAAAACATCAGTTACTTTTAAATGTCTGTGATATGGAAGATTAGTTGAAAATTGACTCTTCTCAAAACAAGTGAGAAGATTCCTCTCTGTGGAATGAATTCAAGACTGCAGGTGTAAATTATGTATCATACTCAGTGATAGGAAAAAACTCCAACTCCTTGTAAATGAACTGCTGGCAGAATGACTTTAACAATGAACCAATCCCTGCACTGCAAAGGAGCTCCCAGTACAGATCTGAAATTCACAAGGGACTAGTCTTCACCCGGATGATACTTAACCTCTGAGAGGTTTTCTTTGTTTTGTCTTAAACAAAAAAAAAACCCAAACCCCATCAGCCACTAACAAATGGAAATCCACTCAGCAGCTCCCTCTTACTGTCACAGAAAAAGGCCTTTTGGAAGACACGTTTGTGGAGACTTGCTGGCTAAGACAAATACTGATTACATCTGGAGTGACAAGCCACACAGGAAGAACTGAAATGAGAGACAATTTTACTACTTTTGTCAAACAGAAGGAATTTCTCACCAAGAACTCTAAACATGTAAAAACAGCTGCTCAAAATGGCTGGTAATTTTAAGTTTAAATATCCATGACAAGACTAGGTAAATGGCAGGACTGATAAACTAACAAACAAGTTGGAGCAGACAGATTGCACACAGGTTGCAGCCACTAGGCTGGAAGCACGTGAAGGCTGTGACTTCTGAAATCCATGGGGATGTCAGAGATGACCACTTGGTTAATGCTATATTAGACAGGTGTTCAATAATTTCATGCCCTCCCCATCAATAGCAGAGAGAAGTGAATACCTCTCACACTCTGGAGACTACAACTGTTCCATATGGGGGGAAATGACTTAACTGACCTTGAAAGAAGAAATACTCCTTTTAAGTACTGCCAATTGATTTCTGCACACTACCCTGAGGCCTAAAGAGAAAAGCAGCAGGACAAATGTCTGCACTGCAGAAAACACTGGTTTAAGAAAGATCATCTGAACAATCACAACAAAAGAAAAAGAGAACAAATGGGAAGTGTTCCTTCTTAGACATTCTCTTAGTACGAACAAGTAACACACTTGAGCCTGACAAGCAGAATTCTGAGCTGAAGATATAAACTGAACCTTTTTTCCTTTAAACATTTGTACAGACAGTATTTTTATATTTCATCTAAAAGGGGACATATACATAGGATTAAAAGTTTAGTTGAAAGAAGGAACTAAACAGATACCCTCTGAGACCTCCTGGGCATCTATTGAAAAGGGCTAATCATTTAAATCCCACAAAGTTACATGTTTTAAGATAGCTCAGAGCTCATTTTTACTACTGTTAGCAGTCTGCTGTTTAAATACATGGAGCTAAACACTTACCTGTATAGTTGAATCTCCCATTATAAATTTTGCTCCCTCTATTACAGCCATATATGAAAATCTTAGTTGATCAGGAGTCTGAATAAGTCCCATTCGATAATTTCTCATATCCAGTAATACCTTCTTAATATCTACAGAAAATGGGTCCTTTTTTTCCATCTGTAAAGGAAGTTACATTGAAAGTGACAATGGTATATAAAAAACAACTACAAGTAAAAAATTAGTCTTAAAATGCAATTTAAAAATTAATTTCTTCATATTATGTTTCTGTTAGTTATATAGAAAATTAACATCTCAAATTATTTCTAGTTTGTTTTTACAGGAAAAAAAGAACCATCTAATGAAAACTTACTATGAACAAATCAAAGATCATGTACTATCCAAGTAAACCAGCACCCTAATACTGAGTCTTTGAATTAGTATTAAAAGTAGTATTTGAATAAAGAAATTTAGATATACTTGATTTTATTCAGGCATGTATTTGGAATTTGAAATAGGACTACAAGAACCAGAACTGTAAAGCAGCATTTCCTACTGCTCCTGAATGGAACAGCAAGTTAGAATTACTGAATGTGGCAGAAGTTTCCTTATTTGAAGCAGAATCCCTAATCCAAGTGTGACCCTTCAGAGCAAGTCACCACACCTATCTATGCACACTTGGCCCCACATTACATTCATGGGGTGTTTTTAACCATATATCTGCACTTCTTGCAATGTTCACTTTAAACTGTCTAGTACCAAAGTATAATTGCACCAAAATATGCCCTTAAGTTTTTCAAACTGCTTAATAAAAGAAAAACTGAACAAGAAAAATTAAATAATTGAGAGGATCTAACCAAACCAGAAGACAAGTGTCTTGTAACAACTGAAATCCTATTTCACCTAACCCTGCATTGTCCTTTTCACAAGCACAGTCAAAGAGAAAAAGTCTGTCTGGACTTTAAATCCAACAAAAAAATTAAAGTGATTTTAAATATTACTTAACATTTACAGTTTAATCATGTCATGAGCAATTACAGATGAAGCAGTTAACTGAGTAAGCAAAAAAATCTCCTCATTCCTGTGGCACTACAAGGGGCTGCCAAGCCCCACCTCCCCGAGGGCTGCAGAGCAAGGGGAATTCTGCCCCACACTCCATTACACACTGCAGGAGATCCAGGGACATGCCCAGGCTCTCACCCTAGTTCAGATCCAGATTTTCTGCACCCTTAAGAAAAGGGGCCTGTCAGACCTGAGAGATACTCCATGTTTGGAGAAAAAGATTTATTGATTCATTTATCTCAATATATATTCACAAGCTTAACTTTAAACTTGTATTAAAAGAAACCAATCCTCAAATTTTCAAAGCATGTCTTATATAAAAGGAAAAGAATGCTTAGTATTTACTTTCCAGGAAGCTTTGAAAATGCGTAATGCACTTCAAGAGCAGTGTTTTTAAACCACCAAAATATGTCACGAAAAACAAAAGCACGATGTCTTAATTAAAGTTTCCACTGGCATGTCACTAACTTCCATGCTTTGAGGGCTTTCCAAAGCCTTCTGACCAAAGAGCCCATACTGGGAAGGAAGGCAGGGTGTCAGGAGAAGAAAAGGGGTGACAGAAAATGAGCAAACACTTACCAGAACAAGACAAGTATCTACTAACGAAAACGTGCCGGAACGTCCTATCCCTGCACTGCAGTGAACTACTGCAGGTCCATGCTCAGGACTCAGTGAACCAGACTCTCTGACTTTAAACAGGAAGTTCAGGAATGAAGCTGGGGATTCAGGAACTCCAAAGTCTGGCCATGTAGTATAATGAAAATGAGAGATCATCCTGGACTCACCACTCTAGAAATGAAAACAAACAAACAACACAACTAGAAAGTATTCCTCTCTGGTTTAGTTAGCATGTGTTTCCCCAATCCAAATCAATGGCTGTTTTCTATTTCCAACCTCCCATACCAACAAACAGTCCAAGAACTTCCTTCAAGTTGGATGACAACCGACAGTGCAACCTGCAGCAGTTTTTCATCCAAGTTGACAGTTTTCTCCTTTGCAACTATTCCCATATAATTTTTTCTTCTTCTCAAACATCCAGTACTGTATTTGGTTTGCTTTACCACTTACTCCCAAATATCCATTTTTTTCCTACCATTAATGCAGTGGAATGGCTGACAGCAGGTACCAGACTGCTAGAAATAATACAGCTGAAAAAAAATACAGGTCAGCACTGTGCACGCTCTCCACTCTTGCTCAGAGCAAGCTGTATTGTCAAGAGGTATTACATCTCCTTTATACTAACCACATTGCTGAGAGAAGCAGGAAGGTTTATGGGAAAGGCCCATAAGAACTCATACAGCAGGACAGGACGTCTAGCAAGACCTCCTGCTGGACATATTCAGCCTTCCTAAGTAAGAAAGGATTCCGAAATCATACGGCTGCTTTAGGACCACACAGCTCCTCTCCGAACACGACCAACTAACTGCAAGCATTGAAATGACAGCAGGAGAGTAAAAATCTATCTAAAGTTTGGATAATATTTTTATGGCACTCACTTCAGACCTGCTGTTAAATGCTACTCCTTGCCATGGTGATTCTGAGACAAATTGATCACTGATCTAGCTCAGGAATTTTAGAAAAGTTCAGTTATTTTTATCCTTCCTCCATTTCATCTGATTTTCCACATAGACTGAAACCTACATAAACCTCCACAAAGCTGGAACACAGGAAGATTTAAAATACCAATGTATTCCAGGAAAGCTATTTTTCTTTTTCAGCAACAGTAAAATAGAGCCACGAAATCAAAATAAATTCTACTGTTCTTCATCTGCTCAGTCTGTTTCAAGTTCTTATGAGACAACTTACGAAACTCCTTTGTGAAACTAAAATAATCCAGTTCATGGTTTCCACAGTAACAAAAATACTCTCCCATTTTGTCTTTAGCCTTCAATGCCTGATACTGCAAGATTGCCAATTCTTTCACAGAAAACTGTGGATATTGACATGACTCCAGTCACTCTCAAATGCAGTTATCTTCCCAAAATATCTTCCCCCTTGTTTGGCTAAGAGCTCAACAAGGATAACAGACTCTATCATACTAGGAAAATGAGTTCACATTAAGATTTCAAGGGGAAAAGAAGAGTCTAGCAAGGCTCAAATTATGTAAATACACTGGGATTTTCCTTTGTCTGAAGCAAAGCATTGAAACCAGAGTTTGCATTTTCAACTGAGATCCTCCTACTGCTCTTCTGCACCTTTTTTTTCAACTTGGTCAACTCATTAATCCACTGAACTGAACCATTTGTTTAAAAATCATGGAGATCCAGATTTCTTATGAAAAGGTAAGTAACACTCAAGCACTTTCCTCTATTTCTAAGAAAAATAGCGTATCACTTGACAAAGAAAAATTAAGAAGAAAACTGCACAGGTGAGCTAAGCACATGTACTAAGTAAAGCAAAGGCTGAAGTTGTTTCTTGTGAATCTGGATCATCTTTGTAAGTGGTAATTGATACTCCCCCCACCAAGGTTCTTAAATAGCATTCCAAATGGAAGCTTCCCTTACACCTCAAGAAGGCAAAAATTCCCTTTTTTGGCATTTGTCATCAAAAAAGCCAATCTCTGGGGTTGTTTGTGTGGCCCTTTGTTAGGTTGGGGTTTTTTTGTGTGTTGTCTTTTCCCCCCCAATCCCATCCTGTAACAAGTACTAGCATCCTCTTCCAAAAATAAAAAGGCACTGCTTCAAGCACATGGCCAACTGACACCCTGCTCATACACTGATCTGTACATCTCATTCGGCTCTAACCCACAGAGTTACACTTTTCTTTCTTGTATGAAGGCTTTATCCATCCCACAGTTTTCCATCCCTTCAGCTCATTTTAAAAATACCTAGTCTCTTCATCTTTCCTCAAGAGTCCCATTTCAGTGCACCGGAACCAGCTGGTCTTCTTTGAACTTGCAGTCTCTAATTCTACAGCCAAATCCCCTTTGAATATTTCAAACCTCCCACATTTTCTCTCTTAAACAGAATGGCTCTTTCAAGTGGTGCTTGGCAGTCAAGCAGCACAGCTGAAACGCTGTCTTTGTGTGAATAACTGTACCACCCTTTCTTACAGAACTCCCCTAAGCACCACAGCTATCACTTACGTGAAGTGATGCAGGACTGTAACGAGAAGAGCTCTGACTTGCTAAAGAGTCACGACTGTTGATGGACCAAAAAAAACAGATTTAAAGAACAACTAATTTGACTGAAGTGTTACCAGGAAACTAGCTAGTCTCTTAAATTACAAAGCCCCTGGACTTCAAGACTCAGGCAGTAATATAAAAGTTAATGTTACACACGAAGAACATGTTTCTGCATGGTATCTGAAACCAGCTTGTCCTATGGTAACCACAACATAATCTTCCAACATTTATTCCCCAAGAATAGCTATCAAAAAAAAATTAAAAATACTTGAATAATCCTGGGACAAGATTTAAACAATAAGTTTTTTTAAAAAATGAGTCAAACCATTCCAGTGAAAGTTTTAGGAACTACTGGGATATGCTTTCCATAAATAACCAGTATGGCTAAAACTGACAAACTCGAAAGCTCCTACCACATTGCACAGTTCTCCACTGACTGCTGGGAACACCAACAGCAGAGTCAAAGGACAATCAAAGCACAGGCTCCAAGTTACAAGCAAATATCCACATGAGGACTCAAGCAGAAAAATAATATGTCATTAGGTTAACTTCCATCAAAACAAGCCTTGCCATAACCTTTTTACAGCAACCATTCACTCACTCAAAATAAAACGGTACCAAATAATAACTTCAAGTTGTTCAATCACCTGAGAGTATGAACATGAATAAAATGCTACCAAAATGCTCAAAGGAAGTTGGTACCTTCAGTGTCAAGTAAAATGAGTGAAGACAGAAAAATGCTACTCTGTCAGATTTCACACAGTCAGGATGACAGAACAGTTAGGGTTGGAAGGGACCTCTGCAGATCACCTAGTCCAACCTCCCTGCCAAGGCAGGGTCACTTAGAGCAGGTGACACAGGAACGCACACAAGGAGTTTTGAATGTCTCCAGAGTGTGACTCCACAACCTCCCTGGGCAGCCTGTTCAGTGCTCTGCCACGCTCAGAAAACTGCAGGGAAAAAAAAGAAACTCACCACTCATTACAAAAGCCTTCATTTCATAATTTAAGGGCTACTGAAATGGTCAAATATATGCAAGTGTAAAACACACCTACAACCTCAGAGTGGTCCTGTATTTTAATGATCATGCCTTAAGTGCATTAACAACTCATTTGATCATATAAAAATGAGAGGGCAGCGTACTGTAAGGGCAATACTCTACACACTGAAATTCAAACTCTTAAATCAACTTCCACCAGAGCCTCCTTGGTTTGTTCATTCGACTGCTAGGCAAAATGGTTTTCAAAATGTAAGCAGAAATGACAATAAGGATAATGGGGCCAAATAATCCTCGCAAACATTCTGGTTCATCCACAGGATCAGCTACTGAGGGCCACTAAGCAGTCTTGCATCACCTTAATCTGACAGTCACAGCCACACAGAGGCTTAGTACTAAGTTCAGAATCCATTTTGCTAATGGGTTTTTCAAAATATTTGCAGAAGACTCAAGATTCCACTTGGGGTTTATTCATGGTCCTTACTCCAAAGTATCACACCACCAGTGTCACATCAACTTTACTTCATTTCTCCTAGTCCTTTCTCCTCCAGCAAATACCTTCTTTGCAAACTTCTCCTTCAGCTGCTTTATTCTTACTCCTAGGAACCCAGCCCAAGATACATTCATTAAGGTTCCTTCAGCAATTTCAAATTCCACTGCTCCATTTCCTCACCCAGTTTCCCTCAACTTCTGATGCTCGTTTGCTCTCCAGTAGCTTCTCTAAATTCCCCAGTACCAATGTAGTAGAGGCTTCTTTATCAGCAGTCATTGTGTGTCACACTGTATCTGTCTGGATATCTGGATTGCCACACCAGAAATTACTGAGGACACAAGTTGTCTTCCTCTGAAGACCAGTGCATAGTTGTGTCCAAAAAAAAGCTAAAAGCAGCACTAAAGAAAAATATAAAAATACATGTTCGACACAAGGTGGAGTTTTACACAACTTAGCTGTCAGTATCTAACAGTTCTCCCACGATATTACCACAAAGCTTAGCAACCCATCCAATGGGTTACTTTACAGATTTGACTAAAGGCTCTCCAACACCTGACTACCACTTCTCCAGTATGCTGGGAGACATGCAACAGCTTCACATATAAATGATCACAACATTTTTGCATGACCACAGTTATCTTCCTTCTGCCCCTATTTTCCAACAAAGGCGTATGTTTGTGGAAGCCTTCACAGTCTGTCCTTCCTCAAGGACAGTCCCGAACCTGAGCTATTGGAGCAGAAAGCAGTGCTCAACTTTCAGAAAAGCTGACAACTGACACCCACAAAACCATGGGGGACACGCGACGAACCAAGGTGGGAAGGCAGCTTCAGATGCCTGTATTATAAAATGCAGGCGCGTCAGGCAAAAAGCAAGCAAATTCCACAACAATCACCAGCGAGACAAAGCACATTAGAAATATTCTCAAAACTTTTGGAAATACACCAATAAACACCATCTTCTCTCCAAAGCTTTACTGGACTATGCTCACCCCAACGGCAGAAACAAATGTTTGCCTCAAACAGATATAAACAAATCAAACCTCCAAACACCTTGATCTAATCCTAAAAAACTAACACCCACCCTGAACTGTACTTCCAAGTGCTCTTTAACAAAACCCAACCAACAATAGAAAGAACCAAATATATCGAGGCTGTTTCATAGGTAACAACATCAAACAAGCACTTCACTCTTCACAGTTATGTATTTTGCTTATGTCTTAGATTTGTTGCAGTAATGCAATTTACTTGAGCTCAGAATGGCTGGATTATAAAGACAATCTTGGTTCTCTGTGTTTTCAAGTAAATACTAAAAATTAAGTATTCTTGGCATCAAGTATATTTTGTTCATGAGTCATCTTATATTCCAGGCATCAAATGGCTAAATGTCTTACAGTCTGCCTCCACCAAAGGCCCCTCCAGAATAACTTGCATAAACATAGCTAAGCTCACATTTCAAGTTACTGTGAATACTCAGGTCCCACAAGTTTTAAGGTGTAATTATCAAATCCTTACAAAAGGCAGTTCGTATTTGTGGAGCCTTACAGGAGTGCTAGGACATTAAAATAAAAATTCAGTACAGAAAGCTTGCTGGGTATTTGGAAAACTGATTTACGTGACACACGAGAAACTGTGTACAGTGCTGACAGGTCTGAATTGCTGGTCCAAAGCAAACATAGACATTTAAGTGCTCAACAGCTCAAACTCAAAAGGCTACTATAGCAAATGTTGAGCTGTTCCTCAAAGGATTTCTGCATTGTCCAGTCAATGTTATGACCAAATATATATGTGTAATGAAATGGCATCCTCTGAAAATAAGTTTAAGAGTAGGGGCCAACATGAGAGAAACAATTTCACAAAGTAGCCTTTTCAGAGTTAGGAAAACTTGCCTCAGCTTTCCAAAGAGGAGAGCTTGCAAGCGCTACTTCTCTTCTCTTTGCCTTTTCTGTCAAAAAACAAACTACTAAGCAAACTCTTCAGGTCAGCAGGACAGAATTTCATAAAGCTCTTCTTACACGGAGAAGACCAAGGAACGACATGCCACGTCTTATCACGTTGATCTCACGAGGGAGGTTTTGAATTAACAAGTATTATCTCAAAATACCATTAATATTTACTATAATTTCAAATATTTTTGAACAAATAGATCAATATTTAGTTGTCTAAAACAACATGCAAAGGAACATCTTCAAGCTTTCCTTTCTCAAATCCACTGACAAGACAACCCTGAACAAAACTTGCCACAGTAGCTGTTTCAATTAACATAAGGCAAGGTTTATAGGGAGAGCGAGTATCTTACAAGACATAGCTGGAACAAACAGACAAGCTCTTGAATCCCGTCTTCCGCTCTGAAACAAAGCAGCAAATTCCAACCCAAGCTAAGGCCAGGAACAATTTTTTTGAGCTTAACTTGATTAAATTGTCAAAGTGCTTAATTTTTGAAGAGAAAAGGTTGGTTGGTCCTGTGGAGCAAAAGGGGAGGTAAGCAAGAGGGGATAAAGTGACCTATCTACAGGTGGTAATCACCCCTCCCCCCAAAAACTTAAGATAACTGGACTGAATTACATGAAAACTTGACTGAGTGCCACTAAAAAACAGCAATTACTGAGTCTGATTTGTGATATTCAAAGGAAATCAAAATTTTCAGCTTCTGTGTTCCTCTCTTTAGGTTAATTCTTACAGATCCTCTTAGAATCACCACTACCATCAATAACAATTCAGCATGTTATGGTACTGCCAAATGGAACACATAAGTATAAAAATGCCAAAGATGTTGTTTCTTTTCATGTACGGATTAATACAGGTCTAACTCACTTGCTTATATTCCACACAAACATCTTCAACATTCTCAGAAGCAAAGTGCATTAAAATTTCCAGTGTAAAAGCTCAATTAAACCTGTGGTGACAACACACTAAATGGTTCTTATGATACACTTGAGCCCACGAGCAGGAGCTGTACAGACTGAGAAAAGCTTACGTTGATATTTTCTAACTGCAGTAGATGCACTGTGTAATAGGATTTGACATCTTCAGACACCAGCCTCACACGAAAACCTGTTTCACTGAATGTCATAACTTCCTCTTCTTTTGTTGGCCAGTATTGCGCACACTTCACCTAGTTGATTTTTTTTTTTAAGCAGAAAGAAAAAGAAGAGGGGAAAAAAGAAAAATCTGGTTAAGCAACCTAGTATCTTGGGCTTCCCATGTGCAGACTATGAGACTCCATTATTCCATACAGTAGACTCAAGTACCTGCTCCCAGTTTGAGGAATTCTCCGAGCCCATAACGTTCACAGCCAAGTTACTACAGCTGTTTGAATCGCTATTACGCATTCCAGCTTTACCTGTTTATGCCACTCCGGGGCTAACATGTTCTGGGATACACCTTACCCCTTCTCTGTCTCCCTGCTCTAGTTCTCTACAGGGAACTGAAATCTCTGCTCAGCTTTCTCAGCACTTCCCCCCTCCATTCTGGCATGCACACCTGCACTTTTACAGAACTAACATAACATCCAGGCTTGCTGAATACTGCAAGATTCTAGTGAAACAAAAGAATGAACTAACAAAGCAATGTGAAACCATCCTTTGTCTTTTATTCCTCTTGCTCTGCATCCAATCTTTCTGTAGGAAAATTTTCACACAGGAAATTAAGTTACTTTAACAGACCAAACAAATCTTTTTCACTAAGTAATCTACTCTGGAGAAAAACCATAAACTTCAAATGACATGCATTTGTAACTAAAATCCAATGTGCTTTTAGGCACATTAGGAGAAAAACTACATCATAACATAAAATTTGTGTATTCTGTACATATACCACCAGTTTTAAATAATTAAAAATTAAACTAGATCAGCTTGACAGCTCCTGGGCAGCAGCTTGTCTTCACTGTTACAGCTACCAACACTATATAACAAATACACTAATCTAAAGATACTTCAGTCCCAACTTGTTTTCCAACCTTCCATTTTGCTCAAAGGGCATCTTACCCTGACTCTACTGCAAGCTATTTCTGTCTCTACATCCTCCTTTCTCGGCATGTTACCTGCACCTTTCTGGATGTATTTATTACATGCTGTTTCCACCACACTGAGATCTGTGTGTTGGCTCCATCACTTTAACATTAGATTAAACACACACGATGCTGCACACTAGTGAGAAAGTCTGTTAGTTCTTACACCGTAACAATCAAACTTTCCTCAACTGAACTACAAGTGTATCGCTTATTCAACAGCTTCAAGCCTAGTATCACTTACCGATTCTTTTTCAACAACTCTGTTCAGCATGACAACTGCTTTGGTCTGTTGCTGCCATACCATTAGCCAAAAATGGCAACTTTTTTGTAGGGAAGCAAACAAAAATGGGTATGAGAATGTATAGATAAAGCAGTGCCTGAACACAGTTAACAGTTCACCGTGGTAAACAGGAAAAAGTCTTCCTCTGAACAGTTTAAACAAATCATTAATAGAGTGGTAGAAATAGGCAAGAAAGTAACCACACTGCACAGATCACTCCAGTACTTAAAAAGGTTGGAGTATTTTTAGGGGGGAAAAAAAAAGCGCCAAGCAAAACCAAAACCAAAAAAAAGGTAAGAACTCAGGGAAGGGATAATTTGCTTTGAGCATCAGTACTACTGTGCTGTTAGAAAAGAAAACCTACTGCAGGCATGCTCAGAAGGTACAAGATGAATTAAGGAGTAAAAGTATTGCTGCAACCTATTTCTAAAACAGCAAGAAATACTTGAAAAGCTTCATATGCAGTAAATTGCTCATATTTACTCGATATTCCCTTTAGCTTTTCTTAAAATATAATCTGTTCAGAACTACATCACACAGGCAGTCAATATGAGATACACACAATTCAGAGACAAGGAATCATCCAAATACAAACTACAGCTGTACAAATCCCCCTCCCCTAGAGTCCCAATCCCTGTAATAACCTAGTAATTGGTACTACTTACCTGTGTTAAAATGTAGTATCTCTGGGCTTCTTCTATGACTACGAGGCTGGCATTGATGTAGTCGTTCTCGGTGTTCTCCAATTTTACACGACTATGATCGTCTAAATTTCAAAGAAAATTAAGAACTAATGATGCATCCACCTTGATGAATACTCTCGAACAGGCAAGTTTGGCCTGACAAGCAATTACAAATAAATTCTGCAGTACTACCCAAATAGCAAACTACAAATATATGTGAAACTGATTTCTCATGTAACTTTGATAACTGCCTGTTTCATTATCCCCTCAGCATTCCATCAGAGTAATTTCAAGCAGCTATTAATCAAAGCTGCTCAGAAAAATGGAATACCCAGTTTTCTTTAAAGAAAACCACAACCAAACAAAACAATCCTCCTACACATGCCAAAAGATGTTCACAGCCATCCCTCAACAGCTGCATTTCCTTAATACAACAGCACCACAACCCACACCAGGCAACACTGCTCTTTCACACCAGATCACCATTACTGCAGGGTTTCCCTCCAGTTCAGGATTCCAAGATTTTTCACAGGTTGAGGTAGAATCATAAAGTCAAAACTTACACAGCTAAAAATACCCACCAAAAACTACATGCAATAATTCAAACTTCGATCCATTTAATTTTCCCTGTGAGTTATTGTCCAATGTTATACTATACAAAAATACTAAAGCAGCATGTGCAAAAATTAACACACGTAACAAATCTTACCATTAAATGAAGCCTAACCTAATTACACAGTTTCAGTTTCTCACAACTACACAGGCAAGACAGAAGATTCCCCTATTTATGGCAGAGACAAGAAATGGACTGAATCACTGCATAGTAAGAAGTCTTTGTGGCTGTTCCTAGAACCTTGTAGTATCCAATTTATCAATTTCTAGGAGACAGACTTGTTCGCACCAAGTAATCCTCTGGCCATTTACCAGTCACTGCAATAAATAAACAGTACTTTTAGTTTAAAATTTGTACACAACTACATGCCAGAAAATGAGATCCAACTGACTACACACCTCCTGAAGCTCAACAGTCTACACAGGCTGTTTGGGAAGAGTAAATAAAAACTAGCAAGCTAAAATGAATTTAAGAGACTTAAAGACATTTCAGGAAGAGATGAAAGAGTTCCATAAAGAAACTGACAGTGCAGAGACCGATTCATGATGCAGTGCCAGTTCTTAACCTACATTCACCTGGTCTGACCCACAGAACTCAACTGGAGCACAGACTGCAGGTAAAATTCCAACCCACTTTTCCTTCTCCCATCCCTCCACCAAAAGGCTAACTTCCTTTTGACAAACAACTTGGCAAACACACAAAATCCTTAGTTTTGACACAAGCAACTACCAAGTATCACATTCAGCACAGCTGCAATAGCTGAACCCAGATTAGGTACCTATATCAGAGCCAGCCTATACAGCACAAAGCTCATCTCAGAAATCCATGAATACAACCTTGGATAGGCAAACACTTGATGGGAATCAAAAAACAGTTACTGAATTAGACTTGTGTTCCATGGACCACTCATATGATCTTCTACAAATACTTTCCATATGTTTGGAAACCTGGGTAAAGTACATATACTAGGCTTTGATCTGCTTTTATACTCTCCCTCATCTATCTGCTCTTGGCAGCTGCCAAAGAGGATCTTGCCTGATTCAAGGAAAGAAGTCAACAGTAAATTACAACTATTTTGTTGCTGTTGTTGGCCTCAGATTTGGGGTTGCTATCCTACCTCCTTCAGCTCCTAGTTTTCATATGCAGTCACATACAAACACGCAGGGAACAGAAATACACCGAAAACTTATTTTTAACATAAAAGTATGAGAAATTTACTGGGTTAGCCTGTTTTCATTAGCATTCCAGTTGTAAGGCAACACCATCCTGACTTTCAGGAGTCTTTAAAAAATTTATGATACCTCTGTGTGAAGAAAAAAAAAACATTACCAATGGCAAGGCAGAGTAAAAGCAAGATGCTCATGCATTTTAAACTAAAATATCTCTCTCTGTATTATTTTGCTGGGATAGGAAAGTGTTACTTTTTTCCTTTCATGTATCACTTTATCTGAAATGTTTCTACTGGAGAGAAACCAAGACCTCTGTAAATATTACATGTCATTTGCCAACAGGAAAAACTTAAGGTCTTGTTATAGTAAATCACACATACCGGTACTAGTGTTCTCGGAAAGGTGACGTCAGCAAGCTCTGTTAACAGTTTAATCACCAGCGGCAGCCCCTGCTGCCAGGAGATAACTGCCTGGGCCTGCTGAGCTTTCCCACTGCAATCCTTACACACACAGCCTTACTTTTTCCTTCTTATACATTCTGCTTTGTAAACGTGACAAAAAATTGTGAAAGTTTTTTTTAAAGCCCGTTTAACAGCTAATTCTACGCCTCCCTCTTCCTCCCCAACTCCAACAGAGGCGATCCTACAAATGTTCTGGCAAACAGTCCACAGGACAAAGAAAGCCACTAGAATATATTGATTTCCTTTCTTTCAAGGGAAAAGGTTCCTGAAGGACACAATGACCTAGAAACCTCACTTGAAGCCCTGGCTTGCTCTCCTGACTGAAATGATGCAACCCAGCTTTTGACAGCAAGTCAGCTGTAACATATTCCCTGTATGTAAATCATTTCCAGTTACAAAGTACTTCAGATTTATGTGAATGATAAACCTATCTTTATGATAAGATTTATCTCACACGTTGCCATGCCCACAACAGCGAAAATACAGTACTCATTTTCTGAAGTGCTAATTCCCCTATTTCAACAAACTATGCAGCCTGAAAAGGAAGTGGAAACCTTTAAAATTATTCTCATTCTGGCTCCTGCATTCAGAAAACTACTCCCAGAACAACGCTGTCAGATAAGTAAACTCTGATTACTCACTTCAAGTGAAACCCTGTCCCACTGATATCACTGACAACACTCCCCATGTCTCAAATGAGGCCAAGACTTCACATCACACATCAGCTTGCCCTCTCCCTGCTAAACAGCAAATGACAGATTTAAAACCAAGATACAAAGTGCTTGGTATTTTACACCATACAGTTCTTGCAGTTGGTTAATGGAAGGTCTTTGTTTGAAAAGAAGTATGTATCTAAACACTGCATAACTTCAAAATTATCTTTTATCCAAGAGATGTCTCTGGTCCTCCAAATACGGAGCTATTAACAACAGTGGAGGGCAAAATGCTACTTAGTGGATTAAAGAAAGTCATAAATAAAACATGTAGCCATAAGCCATCCTGATGACCTTGCCTGACCCCTTCCCGCCTCCCCGCAAATCCCCTCCATTCCACTAATCTAAAGCTAGTCTATCTGGGCTGCTAAATTATTCAAATTACAATGCTCTGTCACTAGACTTACAGCCTCGAGTTTCAGAGGTAGCTTAAGGCAAAGGAAAGGCAAAGAGACTTTTCCCCACCACCCTGTCACTAGCTGTGCACAATGAATGCCAACGTATCAGTCATGGCCTAGCTCATCACTGCGATGTATTCGTACCCAAATAGATGCCTAACTACTGCACAGGATCCTCACACTTCTAAGCAGGACTGTGAAAAAAAAACTTGAGAAACAATGATGTTTAGATCATCATGTGCTATAAAATTCCCCTCTTGCCCAACCCCAAAGAAAGGGGTATCTCCAAGAGCAGCATGTTGAGTTTATTCTACAATGCTTCTGGTAACAAGACGTTTTATCATGAGGTAACGTAATAAAAATCATCAGTGTCAACGTCTAGTATGGACAGCAAGAAATGCAGCAGGCTTAATTTGGACAGAACATCTCCCTGTTCTCAGCACATACACTCCAAACACAGGACAGAAAGGGAACATTTCTGCAATGATCATTAATCAGCACCATGTGCAAAACCATTCAAATCAGGTCCAACTCTGTTCCCTGTAAAGCACAATACTCTGTGTTACTCTCTCTCTGGTATGTACTCCGTGAGAACTGTAAACCGTTGGCTGAAAGGTCTGACAAACTCTACCCATGGCCCCCAGGAAGAAAACAAGAGAAATCACTACCTCGCAAGATCCTCCAACAGCAACATGATCTATCGGGCAAAAATGCTCAGGATGTTGAGCCACACAAATACTGCAAAGAAAGGCTGAAGAGAAAACCATGTAAACTCTCATCTACCCTCCAAAAGCAAAAGAAAATCTTGCCAATTTTGCTGAGGGGATTTCCTTCTTGCCTCTAAATCTGGGAGCACAGTAAGCAGACCTCTAAAGGTGTTTACAGTCAATCTGAGACACTACTCTCCTGATAACAACTAAGGATAAGATTTAGAAGCAAAGTAATTACAGAAATCTTCAGAGTTTCATTAAAGTTATTAATAAAGAATAACAACCTCACAAGTTAACTTTTCCTCTCTTAACCATGTTTTCTGAGAAATGGTTTCATCTGTCCGGAAATGACTGGCTGTCAAACCAAACCTATTTTGGATTAACTTCCTGTTTCAATAGTACTACATAGCCAAAATATTCCTCTCCCTATTCTAGACTAATACCAAACTGTCAGACTGCTACTTTTTTTTGTCTGGGCAGTAACTCCTGAGGGCTTTTACCAAACCAAACTTATACATACCATAGCTCTTTAGCCAACAAAACTGGACATGAACAAAAATATTTATGAAACTGGAAACAACATGAAACTCAACTGCAATGGGCAGAGATCATCAACCTTTCCCAGCCAGGAGAGGACAAACTCTTACCTAGAAATGTGTTTAACAGACACAGACTGGTTTCAGTATAATTGTCCTACGTATCATGGTTGTAATGGGGCAAACCAACCCAAAGCATTTTTTCCTGCACTTGTAATTGATATATTTTCCGTAAGAATAATCTTTGCATTTCCTCTCGCAGATACACCATCTCAGATTTTAGACTGGCTTGGCTGCTATCATGGTTAAAAAAACATTTTCTCACTGCTATGGAGAAAAAAACCCATTCTCATAAAATTATGCTTTAACAATAGGGTTAAGCAGCTAGATCCTAAAAGTCTAACTGCTTGTTCTGAAGGCCTTTGATGATTACAGAATATTAGTATCCCTGATTTGTCACTAAAAAGCAGTAAAATTTGCAAAGTGAAGGACAGAGATGTTAAGATTGCGTGAGACTGAGCTGTCTCACATTTCTGCAACCCCAGTACCTTGCACACATGCACCACTACCAGATGTGGTCACCACAGTGACCAAACCATGCAGCTTTCATCCCACCTGCTTTGAAATTTAGGTACTGCTATCTTGAAATCTTATTATCACATATTCCCTTACAGCTCTCTTTCTCTTCCCAACTCTCATCATTGTTAATGAAACAATAGTGAGTCATATTTGAAAACAGAGCTGTAAAATTCAAGAGGAATTAGTCTGAACACAGTTTTGCTCTGTTCTCTTCACACAGACTTGTTCCTAGTGCCCTGTTCTGCACAGTACCTCAGTGGACCAATTCAAATCTTCTTTCTTTCATAAATGCTAGAAATGGAGACATTCCTCACAAATTTCACTATCTTAGTTCATTCATCATATTATACTCCACGTCAGCCAGCATTTAATGGCTCCAACCCGTTCCTTAGCCCAACTACTACCTCAATACTAGATTTCATCTGTCTCTGCTTTTGCACAGGGTCCAGGAATTAATACAATCACACAAAATTTTTCCTCCTGCCTAAATACACATTTCAGAAGCAGGCTTTGCCATGACTAAGGTAGAGGGATTTGATGCTCTTCACTATTGGAAAAGGCATGCCATGATTAAGGAAAATTTTGAGCTCCAAGCAACTGCAGAAGATGAATACAAGTCACATCTGTAAGGTATTACTGGAGGCATTACTAGATGCTACTTAAATAACACAGTGTATTTTTATTTATTTTAGAAACACTATTTTTAAAAAGAAAGAAAAACTCCACAAATATACTGAAGTTAAACTTCCCCTGCCTTTGCAGTACTGCCTAAGAAATCAAACCCACAGATGGGAGAAATGGAAAATGCATGAAAATACAGCTTCTGACACAGAAGCTGCACAGGATCCTGGACCCAGAAATAGAATCTGCGTCTCCTGGGTTCAAATCCAATTTCCTGCCTGCTCTTCTTACAGCCCCCATCCCAATTTGGGTATGAAACAGAAAGGGAATAAAACATGATCTACTTTCACACTGGTAAATGCTAATGCTGTGCTGGAACAGGGCAGCAAACGTGGGACATGTAAGGACCTCTTTCCAGCCCAACACATGTCCAGCAGAGGCTGAGCACATGGTGTAAGTCAGTGAGCCTTCACTCATCTGAGGTACCTTCTTCAGAGCCTTCTCCAAAGGAATGCCACACAGACACACCAAAGAGGCCGGACTGGATCCACTTGGTGTGAATTCCCTGTGCCAGAGGCATCCTGGCAGCAGCCTAAGGAGCAGCACAGAGTGCTGCGTCTCACCAGCGTGACTCAACCCGAGACCCTCTCTGTGTCATTCTGAGAAGTGCCATGCACATGCTCTTACCACAACTTTCAACTGGAAACAAGGAGCTCAGCACTTCTCCAAATCTTACAATAGGTATTCAGAAGAGGCTCTCGAATGAAAAGCCCCAATACTCCATCAACCCTTCAAAAATCTTACATCCACTAACAAGTAGGCTTTTATGACCCATTTAGTAGCCTGGGAAACTTCGTACTAAAGAACGCACATTTAACGTGCTCCAACTTCAATACACTGTAGAAAAATCAGAGCTGTGGAATTTTTTCCCCAGACTTTTTGCAAGGGATTATGAAAGCTTCCCTCAGCTACAACTACGCACTGGTAATCTTTTGCTCACCTATCTTTTTGCAATGGTTTTGGATTAGTTTCTATAATAAAATGCTGTTAAAAGGACCAAACACCTCCGTAGCAGAGAAGTTGATGTAAAAAACAAGCTATTTTCACCTGAGATGTAAGATCATTGTGTCACAAAGCGCATTTTATCGCAGTTAGTGAAGTACAAAGCACTCCATGCCATATTTACCATACAGACAATGTCAAGCATTTTTTACAGCAACAGTAGAAATCGACTGTCATTTATCCACACAATCTTGCAACTGTGCAAAATCATTCGGTCCAAAAGGAAACAGCTTCTGTTAGTCAAGCCTTATTAACTTAATTTCTGTACTCATTTTTTATGACAGATAAACAAATAATTTCCTTATGAGAAAAATATCTTTAAAATATCACTTTGCAGCTCACTAATATTTACCTATCTATTCACACCTATGACTTGCAATCACCCCTCCCTCACCCTTCAGCACAATGAGTTTAACCTGAAGGCTTTTCTCCCTCCTGTTACACACATTTCTGGATGTGTAACCAAACAACCACATTTATCACAGGACACATGCCTATAGAAACAAACAAAATGCCAAACCTACAATGACCATGATTTATTAGCTTCAGTGTTTAAAGTCAACAGGATGAGCAAAAAGTCTAGAAAGTTTACTGCAATGATTACAGAAAAGATACTTACAGGGACTAACATCTCTATATCTGTTACGATTTCTGTTTTCTGGGTATTTTGCAACTCTGTGAGGGTAGTCACTGGATTTGTGTCGGATTTCCTTCAAAAGACAAAAAAATGCAATTTACTTAGAGCCAGAAAGCTGATTAAGATTAGTGTTCTACACATCCTACTAATTAATCAAGGTTATTACTAATGAGCATTTTTAAACCAACTTCTACCGCACCCTGTGCTATTTTCACTCAGCAAACGTGTCTCATTCTTGGCCAAGCTGTTGCCACTTAGATCTTCCTACACTTAGCAAACAGCACCAAATTAACATAAGCACAATCTGGTAAGACACTGATGCAGCAGGATCAAAGGGGAAAGAGCCACCCAGATATTTATAATGCTTACAGTTCACCTCAGACTTGCACATTATCTCCCACAGCAACAGGAGACTCCGATGGGACTAGCTGCAGGATCCTGCTGCCTCCCAACACCGACTGGTAGCGTAAACCTAACTGAACTGGTTAATGACTTTATGACTGCTGTTAGCCATGGGACTACTCTTAATGGTTTCATGGTTCGACCTGCACAGCTGTGGTTAAACATGAACCAATAAGGAGGAGCAATTCCAGAGTCACAAATATCAATGTGCAATCACAGCCAAGTCTCCCCAGGCAGTAACACAAACCTGTCAATGCTCTGTATTTGTAAGAATTCAAACAGAATTACACACTATCATACTGTTCATAAGCTCTGAATATTCAGTTTTATTAATGTTTTGCCTCTGAATGCATCTTTTCCTCAACTTCACTAAGATGCATAGATTTACCTTATGTAGGCAATTGAAATCATGGCTAAAGTGCTATTGACAAGCAGCCTCCAATGTACTGAAATATCCCTTTGTATCTCTGTACTGCTGCCACCCTAGCAGAGATGCTGTATGGCAACAGAAGCAAGAACATTTTATTTTGAACTCTTGTTTTTAGATTATTTTGCTATGTCTTACAGTTATGTCCCAAGGGGCATTTAAACTTCTCTTCACAACTAACCATTCTTTGGTCTTCTCTGTGTTTTCACTATCTTTTTTGTCTTCGGACTTCCTAAATAGTCCAGTCTATTCCTAGACAATGAGCAGAGCCAAAAAGGACTTCAGGGGAGATCTAACGTATGTAACAAAGCTCCATTTTTCAGCATCTGGTGCATGACCTTACGTTAAGTGCAGTGCCAGCCTGCAAAGAACATAAACCACAAACTGGAGCAGCAACTGCCAAGCACCAATGCTCCACAGGTTTGTACAAAAAATCTCCTGATCCATCCGGTTTTTTATTTTGACACAGCATGCTGGAACTTCTGCCCTGGTTTACAAGCTCTGGGAGCTTGCACACGGAACGAATGGATCTGGCAGGCATTCACACCCAAGTTCCCAGGAAATGCATTACTCCACAATAGGACTCAACATGTTTTGCTCTGAAAAGCACTAACATCCTCTGTACACAGAAACAGACCAGTACTATGGTACAGAAGCATTAAAACCAGCCAGAAACACCACTACAGTGGTTGGGGGGGGTGCTAAAAAGAATGAAACCCAAAGGCGTTTAATGACTGGCTCCAAAATCGTTAGGTTAAAAGGGTTAAAATGGTTACACTGGAGTGACAGGTCAATGGTTGGACTTGGTGGTCTTAAAAGCCTCTTCCTTTAAGGGGAGGGTGTGAGACACTGGCACAGGTTGCCCAGGGAGCCAGCGGCTGCTCCAACCCTGGCAGTGTTCAAAGCCAGGCTAGATGAAGCCTTGAGCAACCTGGTCTGGTGGGGAGGTGTTCCTGCCCATGGCAGAGGGGGCTGGGAGTAGATGATCTTCAAAGTCCATTTCAAGCCCTAAAGTTCTATGGTTCCACGATCGGTTTTCCCACACGTGACCAG